TCAAAGGAAAAAAGAAGAAATAAAGAAAAGAATGAAAAAAAAAAAGCAGAGCTAGAAAGGATAAGAATCAAAGGAAGGGAGAGGAAGAAGAAGTAATAAGGAGCAAACAAAAACAACAAAACAATGAAAGGAAAAATAAACAACAAAAAGTGAAGTTGTTGGATCCAGAGAGGAGAAAACACTATAGGGTTCCTGTTGTCAAGTAGGTTCCAAATCACAATGACCCTGTATAGGGCTTCTGAGGAGCAGCTGGTGGGTTTGAACCACCGACCTTGAGGTTAGTAGTCCAGTACTTATCCTTCAGTTCCACACCAGGATTCCTCCTTTTTTAAAAAATGTTTTATTGTGAATTATGTGATAGTTTACATGGGAGAACATTAGTTTTACATTTATCCTATCATATATCATTTCATTGCCATGGTTACAATCCCCTCCATGCATCATCAACCAACCAAAGGGTATACCCTGCAAGCCTGCCCCAGGTCATAGCACACAGCCCCTCTCCCTCTCTGGGTCTAAAGTTCCCAGCTTCTCCATCTCTCCACGTCATTGCCTCTGCCTCCAGCTCAGCCATCACTGCTTCTCTGGGTAGGGTCCCACACTCTGCTCTTCTCCCTTGATGGTCCCAGGGACTTCCGCTCCTAGACTGCAAAATCAATCACTCCCCTCCTTGCTACAGAACGTCTACCTTTACATTTCCAGGATTCCTCCTTAAAGATTAAAAGCCATGAAAACTCCATGGGACAGTTCTACTCTCACACACAGTTGCTGTGAGTTGAAATCCTTGATGATGCCTGACAACAAAAATGCACAAAGTGCTTGGCACATAGTAGATGATCAAAGGAAAAAAAGCAGAATTAAACCCAAATGATTTTAGCCCTAAAGTTGAGCCCACATGGCCATCTCCAAGCCCATGGCTGAGAGAAGGTCAAGTCCTCTGCCCCAACTTTCCTAGTCAACCAGCTCCCACTCCACCCCATCCCTTCTCCTCCTACCCTGTCCTCTTCATCCCTTCCCACCCCAGACATTCAATCGGCCTATTGAGTGCCAGCAATGGACCCTTTATTATCCAACCACTGATGCACAGTGTCCCCACGCTGCTGACTAACTTGCTGCTTATGAAAAGCCAGCCATTCAGGGCTTTACCGGTTCCTCCTCCGGGACTCATGTCCCACCTCCCTGCTGTCTGTCAGGCTCTCTGGGTCAGAAAGAGGCAGAGACAAGGAGGAGGCTCTGGTCAGCATAACAATGAGGAAAGGGGAAGGGAGGTTTTAGTTGGTGAGAAAACCATGAGGGGGGATCTCAGAGAGAGGGGTGGTGATTGGGCCAGAGGAAGGTGGACGGATGGGCCAGCAGGTGTGGGAGGCAATGACAGGGCCTGTGGGGCTGGGGGGAGGCAGGTCACTGGGCAGGAAAGACTCCCTCCTCCTAAAACCCTCATAGCCCCCTTCTGCCCCCACCTGCTGAGTTATGTCTTTGTGGACTGAGGAGTAGACCCAGATGAAGTGGGGAGAGGGGGCAAGATGTCAAGAGGAGAGGGAGGAAATGGAGAGGGGAGAGGGAGGAGAAAGAAGCAGTCGGGAGGGAAGAAGAGGGCCAAGAAGGCTAGTGATGGGAGATATGAAGCGCAATCCTGGAGTGGGAAGGCCGAGCTTGGTGGGGGCTTTATTCTAAACACTAGCAGCCATCTGAGTATTTTTAGCAGAGTGTGGTCTGTAATCTAATCTCAGTTTGGGAATGAGCCCTCGGGCTCTGTGTGTAAACCCATTTCTGACTCATAGTGATCCTATGTGTGACAGAGTAGAATGATTCCGTAGAGTTTATTTGGAGGTAATCTTTTATAGAAGCAGATTGCTAAGTCTTTCTTCCACTGCACTCCTGGGGGAGTTTGAACTGCCAACCTTTAGGCTAGTTGTTGTTCAGTGTTGTTGAGTTGATTCCGACCCATAGTGACCCTGTACAGGGTTTCCGAGGCTGTAAATCTTTACAGGAGCAGAAAGCTTCATCTTTCTTCTGTGGAACAGCTGGTAGTTTCGAACTGCTGACCTTAAGGTTCACAGCCTGATTCGTAACCACTACGCTACCAAAGTTCCTTTTCAGGTTAGTAGTTGAGCCCAAATGTGCTCTATTGTTGTTAAATGTCGTCAAGTCGGTTCTGACTCATAGCTACGCTGTGTAGGGTTCTGAGGCTATGTCTTTATGGGAGCAGAAAGCCTGTAAAGCAGCTGGTGGGCTCCAACCACTGACCTTGTGACTAACAGTCCGGTGCTTCTCCTACAGTCACTGTGCTCCCAATTTGCTCTGTAAAAGGAGGTGATAATTGTACCTGCAACCATGGAGTTGAATCCAATTTGTGGCACCCCCATGTGTGTCAGGGTAGAAGTGTGACCTCTAGGGTTTCCAATGCTGTGGTCTTTTGTAATAGATTGTCAGACCATTTTTCTGAGATGCTTCTGGGTGGACTCAAACCTCCAATCTTCCAGTTAGCAGCGGAACTTGTTAACTGCACCATCTGGTGACTCCACCAACCTCCATGCTGCTGTTGTTAGTGGGATTGAACCTCCAGCCTCTCAGTCAGTAGTCAAGCGCTTGACCCTTTGCATTATCTAGGTATACCCCACACAGTTGTTAAAAGAAGGAAAGGAGGTGGCATGGTTCAAAACCTGCTGCTGTTGATGGAGCCGTAGCAACAGAGTAGAACTGCCCCAGAGGTTTCTCAAGGTTGTAATCTTCAGAGAAGCAGAAGCAGATGGCCACATCCTTTCCTGTGGAGCAGCTGGTGGGTTTAAACCACTGAATTTTCAGTAAGCAGAAGAGTACAGGAGCCTCAGGCCATTCCCTGCCAGTCAGGAGAAACCATATTCAGATTAGGCTGCAGACAAATCCTCTTGAAACCTGGGTCCTGTTCTCCAGAGCCTGGCATGGATGCTGCTGCACCATTTACAAGTGTGAATTGTGATTTGTGGATTTCATTCTGATAGAGGCGCTGAGGGCCCTGAGGACCACTGCAGGCCAGCGGTGTCAGCTGTTGTCTGGCCCCCCAGTCCTGGATTCTGGATGGGATGTCAGGCCCCTGGTGCTGGCTCCTATATTCCATCAGGGGTCTGACTTCGGGCCCACTCCATGGTGGGGCGTCCTTCTTTATCTTCCCCACTCTCAGTCATCCTTACCATCCACAGCTAGACTTGTGGGACCCCACAAGGAAAGGGGGGGGTGGTCTTCACAGGCCCTGGCTGCTGCTGTGAGCATGTGTGCACATACATGTGTCCTCATGTATGCATGCTCATGCACACCATTGCTCCCACACACTTATATTCCCACTGACCTGGTCCACTTGCCCTGTCACCTGCAGCCTGAGGAGCAGACTCCAAGCGCACTTGACTGAGCCCACAGGAAAGTGTCCTTCCTGGGGCCTTGTCCCAGTTCTGGTCCCAAGTCCTTTCCCAGGTGTGGGCCCTGCTTGCTATATCCTGGAAGGTGACCCACACATCCTACCCCTCAGCCTGGAACCTGCCTAGGTGTGGCCCTCAGCAAAAGCACTAGGTAACCCTTCAAGGGGTGACCTACATAAGCATGAGAACTCCATGCCAGTTCCCACAGCTGGTGCTCTAAAATAGCTGCCACCTTCACCCCAGGTCCACCCAGTATCCTCCCAACACTTCTGACATCTACTGGGACACACCTTTCCCACTCCCAGATTATGAGTTTGGTGGTGACCCCACCCACTCTCCTCCTTCTGGTCATCAAGCCTGATTGACAGATGGGCCTGGGCTCTGGGGGTGACTGATGGGGTTGGGTGTGACCTTGGGGATGCAATTTAACTTCTCAGTGACATAGTTTCCTCACCTACACGATGGGGATGATCATAGTGCCTGTTTACTTGATACAGTGCAACAACTATTGCTGGAGCTAGTGGCAAAGAGAAGTGTTTTGTTGTTGTTGTTGTTGTGTTTTGTGCTGGTGTTGCTGCATGTACACCTTGAGCTCCCTTGGGAATCTTACCATCATGAAGGGACAGCATACCTGACAGTGAGCCCAGCACAAGGGCAAGCAGTGTTCAGAGATTTTGCTTAAGCCGATGATTCAGCTATTCCATAAGGTGTAAACCAAACCCAGTACCATCAAGGCCATTCTGACTCCTAGTGGTCTCGTGTGTGACAGAGTTGAACTGCTCCATAGGGTTCTGTTGGCTGTAATCCTTCTGGAAGCAGATCTCTAAGCCTTTCTTCTGTGGTGTTGCTGGGTGGGTTCTAACTGGGTTAGTAGTCCAGTGTACTCCAGAGACATTCCTAAAGACCTACTTCTATATAAGTCAATTAAACCCAATTTGCTTTCATTGATCAAGTTATTTTGAGTTGGGTTTCTGTCTTTGTAATAATAGGAGTCTCAACAGATATCCAGCCACCCACCCACCCACCCATCTATCCATCTATCTATCTATCCATCCATCCATCCATCCACCACCAACCCCTCCATCCACCCACCCACCCATCCATCCATCCACCCACCCATCCATATTCCATACATACATCCACCCATCCACCCATCCATCCATCCATCCACCCACCTACCCATCCATCCATCCACCCACCCACCCTCCCACCCATCCATATTCCATACATACATCCACCCATCCATCCACCCATCTATCTTTCCACCTATCCACCCATACATCTATCCATCCATCCACAGACCTGAGTTCACATCTCAGTTGTAACAAGTCTTAGCTATTTAGACACATCACTTCATCCCTCCAGAGCTTGAAATATTTAGCTGTAAAATGGGAATTCCATCTGTCTTTTGGAATAGCTTCAAGGACTAAATTAACAACCTGTACATGGTATCACACTCAGGATCAAACGCACAGGAGGAGTTGGTAAAATTTCCTCCCATCCCATCTTTTCTGCTGGAATGCCACGTCCCCTGCCCACCAAAGTAAGTCTGAGAAGACAGAGGGTCCACACCCCACCAGGTTTGTGTCCTTGAAATAGGCAGAGTCCGATTGGTACAGCCTTTATTATTTCTCCAGCATTTTCCAGAAGAACGGTGTTATATGAGGGCCGCAGGGGACGGGAGGAGTAAAAAATAACATAAACAAACTGAACAGAAAAGAAGGAGGGTGGTGAGAGGGGCTGAGATAGGTGTTTGGGGCAGAGAGGTGGAAGGCTGGTGCAGCCAGCATTTCTTAGCTTTCAGCCACCAGAGAGGAGAATTCTGCAAGAGAAAATGACAAAGGGAGATGAGTCTGATTGAAGAGGTCAGCGGAGGCTGGCCACCTTCCCAGCACAGAGGACTCTCTCTGGTTCTTGTATTTGCTGCAGGAGACCTGGAGTATTAGAGTGAGTGAGATAAGGAGGGAATTAAGAAATTAAGTGAGATGGGACTGGGGGGTTGGCAAGGGGTCATGATCTCACACACGACTCACAAATTATTCATAGTAATAACATTAACATTTTCTTGAATGCTTATCATGTCCCAGATACTCTTCTAAGTATGAGATAGACAATTGCTTATTGGACTCTGACAATCACCCTGTAAGAGGAATGCTATCATTATTTTCATTCTACAGATGAGCAAACTGAGTTCAGCAGTTATTACAAGGCCATACAGCTAGTAAGAGGCAGAACCAAGTTGGTCTGGCTTTGGACCCAAGCTCCTTCTTGTCTACTCATCTAGCTGTGCCCAAACGACCCCCCACCAGGTCCTGCCCTGGAATTTCTGACTCAGGAGGTCTAGGATGAGAAACACGTGATCATGATTCTGATGAGAAGCCACATGCAAGAATCACTGTTCTTGTCCTTCTACTTCCCAGAGGGACCATGTATGACCAAAGTTAGGTCTAAACACGGGGTCACATCTTCAGATAGCTCAGAGAAGTGAACACGTACAGGTCCTCAGAAGGAGCTGGATTCTGTCTCTCAAAGTGTCTTACTTATTTTCCACAAATACCCAGGAAACTAAGGGTTACTACCCCCATTAAACAGAAAGGAAAATAGAAGCCCAGAGAGGTGAAGCCAGGATGCAAGCTCTCAGGTCCAAGGCCTTCTCTCGCCTACCTGTCATACCTGCTTACCTTCAAGTTCACCGTGGGCTCACCTGCCCCTGCCTCCCAGCAATGCCCATTGGTCATGCTCTAACCACAAGCCCACAACCCTTGATTGGATTCCGACTCACACTGACCCTACAGGACATGGCACAGCTGCCCCTTAGGGTTGCCAAGGCTGTAAGTCTTTATGGAAGCAGTTGGTGGGTTTGAACAGCCAACTTTGTAGTTAGCAGCCCAGTGCTTAACCCACAGTGCCACCAGCATTCCTGCAGCTAATCATTGCTGATGTCAGTGACTGGTGTTGGCATTAGGGGGTGATCTAAGGTCCTGCCATTGAGTCTACTCAGTTGAAATGAACAACGGGGTGGTCCACCCATGAGAGAAACACTGGGGGACCTAAGCTGGTCCCTGGCCACAGGAACTCCTGGTCAAGTCAAGAAGCCAGGCCTATAAGAAGCCTTCTGTGTGGCCACCTTTCCTCAACATCTCTAGCCCGCCAGGCATTTCCACTTCTGGTCTTTCCAGCAATCTCTGCGTCTCATTCACTCCGCACAAGTCTTTCATGCTAATTCTTTCTCACTCCCTGCTCTGGGCTGGACTGTCATTCCTCAAGGGACTTTCCCTGACCACCCTGGCAAAGGCAGTGACCCTCCCTACCCACTCCCAAACACACACACACATACACACACACAGTGATTCTCTTTGCTATCTTCCAGTGTTACTAGAGACCCAGCACTGACCCCTTCCAGAATGTTTTTGAGTTTCTACTTGCTGATTTGTGTGTGGTCTGTGTTGAGTAGTAAGTTCCTGAAAGGGAGGCAGGGACCCCACGATCTCACCCTGGCAACTGGCACTGAGGGGAAATATTATTTGTGAAAAGATGAGAGAGGGCAGGGGCTTCAAGTCCTTAAGGTAGGAGAGGTGCCATCTGTTGACGGCAAATGAAAACCTTCACCAGGTGATTTGCACAGGATACAGGAGATAGAGAAGAAGGGGTACCTCAAGTCAGAATCATGGAGAGCAAGAAACAATGCGGTGAATTTGAGAAAGACTCAGGAGCTACACTGGACTCAAGTTCTGCAAATAGGACAAGCATAGCCAGGGTAGCCTGGCCCCAAATCCAGCTCTGTCACTCTTGGGCTGTGTGACATCAGATAAGGCACCTCAGCTCTCTGAGTTCTCTGTTATCATCCATATAAGGAATGAAACTCGGGAACTCCTGGGTGGTATAGACAATTGATGCACTAGGCTGTTAACCAATAGGATGGAGGTTTTCAGTCCATGCAAATGTGCTTTGAATTAAAGACTTGGTGTTCTCCTTCTGTGAGATCAGCCATTGAAAACTCTATGGAGCACAGTTGTACTCTGACATACAGGGGGTCACCATGAGTCAGAACCAGTTTGAAGGTAACTGGTTTGGTCAGCTTCTAAAGAGGAGATGGTTCAAAGAGATAACAACGCACATCAGGTGTTTAGCCTCCCACTGTTAACTCCTCTGTCCCCGTTCCCATGCCTGTCCCCTGTGAGGACCTCACTCCAGAGGCCAAAGGGGCCAGGACTTCAGCCTCCTCTGGAATCCAGGGGAACCCAGGAAATGGTTTATCTGGCATTTTCCTCTCTAGGAGATGAGACAAGTAAGAAGGAGTTTGCTGCCACATACCATCACATGTTCCTGAGACACCATGTCCCCAGACTGCCACAGAGGGCAGGGTCCCTGACTTCTACGAAATGCAATGTCGTGATGTGGGGAGGGAACAGGTTGGGGATCATGACTCAGGGGACCCATCCCTAGCCTGTCCCTGTGTGTTAGCAAATGCATTTCTCTGGGCTTTAGTTCCTCATCTGCCTGTGGAGTGAAGAAGGGTGGAAGCCCAAATAATTCTCTGGGAGAGCAAATGAAGAATAGCATGTTCAAGGGTTCCAAAGAGGCCCCAGCCAGTACCCAGCTCCCCTGAGGCAAGCTCTACCCCGCCTGTATGACGCACAGGTGTAAAAACCTACCAATGCCATTCTTTGCCTTTCATAATTGTCCGGCTGTTAGTATGATGGTACCATTTGCTGAAGCTGGGTGGGGAGGCTACAGAAGGCTGAACTCACTCTCCAGCTCTTCTGGAAAGCTTAGATGATGACAGAGTTTGTGGAAAAGCTCAATGAAAAACTACTGGAATTTCCCCACAAACTTTATGAAGCTCCCTTGTGTATCAAAATAAAACTCCACAAGAAACAACCAAATGGATGCTAGTTATTGTTATTGTTAAGTGCTGTTGAGTTGGTTCTGACCCATAGAGACCCTGGATAGGGTACCGTCCTGGAAACAGGCTGGCCATGGGGCCACTGGGCTCATTACTTTTCTGAAATCTGACCTAGGAAATGGACACCACCCTGTCCTGTCCCCAGGCTGTTCCTTGTGGAGAGGAAAGGCAGGTGACCTGGATGTAATGAACTACATGATCACTCAAGAAGGCTGCAGGTGGGAGAGAAGGTGGGTCCACACTGAAAGCCCCAAATTCTCAGGCAAGTGACAATGGCCAGCTGCATGCATGGTATTCCAACTCAGTAACTGAGCACCAAACACCCTCAAACTTCCTCCCACCCACCAGGGGTCAGAGTACTTGCGTTCTTAGCCACCTCCATAGTCCAACAGCATTTTGGTGGGCAGGTAGTTCTTTGGAGAAATCTTTTATTGATAGTGCTTTTATTAATATTGTCAATTGATCTCATTTTTTAAATCTGCAGCTGTTGAACCCATTCTGATTCCTGGCACCCCCAAGGGTTTAAGAGTAGAACTGTACTCCATAGGGTTTTAAGTGACTAGCTTTTTGAAACTAGATTGTCAGGCTTCCCCTGGGTGGACTTGAACCTCCAAAGTTTCTGTTGGCGGCTGGGCACATAATCATTTGCACCACCCAGGGACTCTAGATAACATGTAAGTAGCATTTGTTGGTCTCTGGTGTAGTGCTGTAGGATAAGCGCTGGATTACAGGTCTGGTGTGGCGCTGTGGGCTAATGCGTCAGACTGTAAAGTTGTTTGAACTGCAAGGTCAGTGGTTCAAGCTCACCAGCTGCTCCTTGGAAACCCTACATAGGGTTGCTGTGGGTTGGAATTGACTCGACAGCACTTAACAACAACTAACCACACAAGCTACAAGGCTGGCATTTCAACCCTATGCAGGGTCACTGTGAGTCGGAACTGACCGGACAGCATTTAACAACAACAGCATTTATTGAATGAGGATGTGGACACACCTTGAATACGTAATCTCACTGAGTTCTCATGCCTATCCCATGCAGATGGGGAAACTGAGGTCCAAGAGGTAAATCCCCTGACAAGGTCACACAGCGGGTGTGACTCAAATTATTCTTTTAGGTTTCCTTCTTAAGCCCAGAGGTATGTGACCTACTGTGACCTAGTTATAGAATGACATGTGTCCCAGCTCAAAGACTGCAGCCCCCAGACTGCCACATTTGACCTTTTTAAATTACTTTATTGTACTTAGGGTTACACCATGACTCTGTAGGATAGACATTGGACATAGAAACACAAGGTAAGTGGTTTAAACCCACCAGCTGCTTCTTGGGAGAAACACGAGGGAAGTGTTCTGACCTCACAAATATTTGCAGCCTTGGAAACCCTATACAGGATCACTAGGATTTGGAATCAATTTGAGAGCACTTAACAACGCCGTGGAATTTAGCACCATGTGAAACGACCTTATTGATGTCCTTAATTATTTTTGCTGGTCTTCCCTGAATAGAATGGAACCTCCAGGAGGACAGGGAACTCTCTGCCATGCTCACCACTCCCCCAGCAGCTAGAGTAGTCCTGGGGTTCATGAATGAAGGACTGAGCCAATGGCTGAGGATTCAAGTGCTGACCAACTGGTATATTTCTTATGAGAGCCCTGGAGGTAAGCGGGAGGATTCCCATTTTATAGATGGGGATGTGGAGGCCTGGAAGAAGCTCTGGTAGTGTAGTTGTTACGAGTCGGGCTGCTAATCTCCGATCAGCATTGGAAACTACCAGCCGTTCCATGGGAGAAAGATGAGGCTTTCTGCTCCCATAAAGATTTACAGACTAGGAAATCCTATACAGGGTTGCTATGAGTTGGATCTGACTCCACGGCACACCACCACCACCACCATGGGAACGTGGAGGGGTAACATGTCA